TGATTCTGACTAATTTAACACAGTTGTGGTCAAATCATGAGACGGATTCACTGTTTGAACTGAAGTCATGGGTCAGTGTTGGGCGTTGGCCTCTCCTGATCCTGATCATTCATTCATATGTCTCATGTGAGTGATTCAGATTTTCTTGTCTGGAGAAATGTTCCATCTTCGACCTGTTCAGCAGCAGATTAACGGCAGAAGGCTCCAGGCTGCTCTGTGTGCAGACCGGCTCAGTCTTCATGCAAAGCAAACCATGCATCAGACTCCTGAATGATGACGAACACGTCCACGGCTGAATAAACTCTGAGCACGACCCTGAAACCTGAGACAACACAAGAGATCCCTGACACACACTCGTCTCCAACAGGAAGAACGCTGACGTGTGAAAACAGCTTTAACTTGGACGTTTTAAAACAATTTAATATTTTTAAGATTTTCCCTGTTTTGTTTAATTACAGATATCAGATAAAAATAACAGAAAAAACATTAACGCTCACATTAACCATAAAAACGGGTCGAAACTGTAAATAATTTCCAAAATGTCTGTATTTTTATTATTGGTAATTATTTTATCTATTATTGGGTATATCTAGATTTTTAAAATTAAAAATAGTTTGTTATCTGTTGTTAATTAAAATCACAGAAAAAAGTATTAATTTACATGTTCAGTTTAAAAAGGAAACACTAATTATATTTATAAGGATTTCTTTCTGAACGCGAGGCACAACGTCACAGTTCAGCTGCGTTTAAATCTGCTTTACAGACACTTGTTGTCATTTTCACTTTACGGTTTTCAAACATTACAGTTGCTCAAAAGAAAAAACAGATTTATTCAGGTTTAAAAAACGAAATAATTTTCTGAACTTCTAAAATCACAGCAAAAAAGTCTGAATTTAAACATCGACTGTAAAAAATAATACGAGTCAAACTGTACAAAAACTGTATTTTTACAATATTTAATTTAACAATAATTATATAAAACATTTAATCATTTTTAATTATTTTATTTCTACTGTATTTAAATCTGCTGAAAATGTCGTCATTTAAACTATAAACCTTCATTATTTTTACAAACATTATTTTAATTTTTATGCAGATATTTGCAGAAGAATTCTGTGAGTTATTATTATTATGGTGGATGTAAATCCCGTCAGACTGTCGCTGTGTGACGGACGTCTGCTTCCTGCTGTCAGCTTTCTTTCTCTCTGCAGGTGTTTGGTTTGTGAACCACTGACTTGAGGAAGACTCCTTTGCTGTGCTGGCGGATCTCGCGGTGTGTGGCCCACGGCTGCAGCAGCATCCTGCGGGGGTGGAGGCCCTCGGACTGGAACAGCTGGCCCACGTCGGCCGGCAGCAGGATGTTGACGCTGCTCATGGTTCCCACGGTCTCCCTTCACACACAGAGCTCAGGCGTCAGCGCCGGAACCGACACCCCGGAGAACAGCTGCTCACCTGTGCCTACCTGTAGATGGGGCCCAGAGCGCTGAAGGTTCTCTCCATGTGCTTGTGCAGCTGCCGGAACCGGTCCTCCCTCCAGAACCGGAGCAGGTTGACCCAGCCGCTCCTGCCGGTGTGAGGGATTTCCTGGAAGCTCCTCACCCGGCCGTTCCTCACGCTTCGGACCTTGCCGTCCTCCACGGCTGCAGCAACGCAGAACCCCCTCTGAGCCGCACCCAGGCCCACGTTAGCGGTTCCTCGGATGGACATTCTCCTCATGGCCCGGACCCGCTACGCCCATCCAGAGCTCTGCTTCAGGACCGACTGCCTCCCTGCTCCGACCTCACAGCGTCCTTGAATGTGCTTTATCGCTGCAGCACCGACAGGAGGTCCGGATTTATGAGCGCGACGGTCGGAGTTCAAGAGAAACACAACACACACCAGAAACACGAGTCCAGCTGCCCAAACAGGTTTATCACAGGTTCCATCACCAACAGCAACACACTGGAAGGTTCTGCTCCACACTCACAAGGTTCTTTGGTGGGTTTTGGGTTCTGTTGTACAAAATCCATCAACGACAAACTAGAAGGTTAAAGTTTGGCTCAAACACAAACAAACAAACAAGAATACCAGCAACACAAAGTTCTCACAAAGAAGACCAACATGTTGGGTTGAAACGTGTCCCTGAGGTTCCTCACTTGTGTATAGATCACCGTCGGACCTATAGGAGATCAAGCGGAGCTCAGACGGGTCCGTGACCCGGCTGCAGACGCTCCAATTATCAAACTACATCAGACATCACAGTGAACAACATCTGTGACCTGCAGCAGAACATCTAGTCATCCATAACTCTACATCCAGCTTCTGTCGGCGCTGACGGACGAGGTTCTGATCAGCAGCTCCTCACATGAAGCTCCTGACTGACGAGGCGCCACCAGCTAACGAAGAGCAGGACTCGTTAACGACAACAGGAACCTACTGCTGACCTGAAGTCTCCTACTTGGTCCACACAAGCTGCATTTATCGAATCATTCATCAAACTATATGACTCGGCGGAGCAGAGTTCAGACTGAAGGTCAGAACCAACAGGACCTTCAGGCTGCAGCCAATCAGACGGCTCCTCCTACACTTCATCTCATATTGACTTTGGTTTCTAATATATTGCATGTATATCAGGTTCTTGTTTAGTTGTATCCTGTGGGTTGTGGTTTAATTCTTTATATTTGATTTTTGTTTCCATTTTTTCTATTTTAAAAAAAAAAATCTATTTAGTAAAAATACAGAAAACGTGATTCATTTAAATGTTGAATGCAAACAGAAACACATCGTTACACATCGTCTCAGTTTGTCCGCTGCTTCGTGGTCTAAATAAAGTTATTATTACGCTACGCTCTAAAGTCAAAAACAAACAAACAACAAACAGATTCAAACTGTAGACAACGTCCACATCACAGGAGTTCTTCCAGAGTGTGACTCTACATCTACACAGCTCCACTGGCTTTACATCACATGAACATCACATTCAGAAACATTCAGGTGCTCTTCTCTGGATGTCGTTTTCCTGCGTTAGCGTCGTCTGAACATGTTGGTCTGTGGAGGTGTTTACTGTCAGCTGTGTGGAGGTGTTTAGATTCTACGTCTCTGCTGTTTGTCTGCTTGGCTTCATGGTTTTTCTGCTTCGTGCAACATTTTTAAACTTCAGATGAATAACGTCGGTGTCGTCTGGTCCGACGCTGGATTTGCTGCATGAAAGAGAAAAATGAGCACAACAGGAAGTCGGAGCTTCTCAGCAGGTTGGAGTTCTAGTGAAATGTTCAGTTTGTTCCTCCTGCTGGTCGACCAATCAGAGGACGGCGCTGGTCGGTCACATGACCTTACAGGAGCGTCCGGCCGCAGCAGGCGTCGGCGTCCTGCTGGGCTTCTTCCCGTTGAGCAGCGCCGAGCCCAAGCCGAGGCCTCGGAAGGCGCCGAGCAGGTCGAAGCCGTCGTCTTTGGCTCTGCTGTCGGGATGGATCATCTTGGAGAGGTCGCGGGGCAGCGACACCTTCCCTCCCACGGACCGCAGGTGGCCCGAGTCCTTCTGGTTCTGAGTGGAAAGAAAGGAAGAGAACTAAATAAAATAAGAACTTCATTATCAGAAATTAGGTCACGTTACACCTGAGAGGAGCAGAACAGAGTGAAAACCTCCACGAGGCTGGATGGAAGAGGAGGTTCCTGGGGACGGACCTGAACCTAAAGCCTTTAGACCTGCTCCTCTGTGTCCTACAGACCCGTCTAACGAGGTCCATGTGTGAAGACGTCCTTCATATGAACACAGCAGCAGACAGCACAGCACTGTACACCAGCCACATGAACAACTTTACGGTCGTTTAAATGACGTCTAACGATCCATTTTATAGCAGATAAACAAGAACCTGCTGCATCATCAGACCTGGAAACAGCAGAACCCACCGTTCATCAGCCAGAAACTACATAAATCACAAGATCTTCAACAAACATGTGACGCACGAGTTCCTGTCAAGAAGAAACAACGAAGTACAAGCTTAGAATCCTTCATCTCATAAAACAACCTGCTGCTGGAAGAAACA